GCGACCGCCGAGCAGTCGATCCCGCCTCCGCTCTCCACCCGCCGAGGCCCTGGCGGACGCGGGGTTTGGGCCAGGATCCCCAGGATTATAGTGTGCTTTCTATATGGGGGCTGGTCTCCGAGGTTCCATTCCGCCCGGGCGCGCTCGGAGGGCATTAGGGGAGGTGGACGCACCTGAGGAGTCCCTCGGGGCGGGGCGCCGAAGGCACGCTGGGGACTGGGCTGATGGGACCTTTACAAGGTGGTGCCTTCTGCGCGGTCCATCCCCCGGGCTAAGGCAGCCCAAGAGAAAAAGGGGGGCTCCAAGCCCGAGGCCTGCTTCGGATAGCCTAGGGTTTTCTGAAGTCGGAAGATCTGTGTGATCCCTTGTTTACGGAATCAGAGTTAGACTTGGAGAGATTGAGGGTTTCTAATCTTCATTTCAGACATTAGGAATCTCTGGTCCAGAGAGAGTTACTTGAGAGGTTGCACAGTTTGGGGCGAGGTCTCAGTTCTTTCCCCTGTATCCTTTAGAAGTCGAACCTAAAATAACTAGGTCCAGACTCTAGGCATGTTCTGCTCACTCCTCCTACTCCCCGCCTCACCCCACCTCTGCCTCCAAGTTGGCAGCATATTAAGCCTGCAGTTGCTGGGCACGGTAATCCAAAATTTGTTTTATTTGCCCACACATGCCCCGGCTAGATTGTTTTACTCATTTTTCCCCCTGTGACTTGTTTGCTACATGTCTTTTTTACTCATTATTTATGGTCTTCTGTTGATACAGTGTTTTGATGCATATTTAAGCCTAATTGAAGAGATTTTGGCTAGGGCACTGACTCTCAAGTTAATTTAGTAGTTGAATCACCTGAAAAGCCTTAAAAATGACTAATAACACACCTAATTGGCTTAAATTAACTATACTAATGATAACATATTTCTTAGTCAAACCTTGAAAGAAAAATTTCAAACAAGTATTTTAACAGAGTCAATGTTATATCTCAAGAATTTCTGCAATTTAAATGTTCATTGAATTGAATGAATCCTTGTGGGGGGAGAAGGCGGAGGATGTTTTTTTCTTCGCTATTGGGTAGCACTATAAGCACAGGGTCCTCAGCTCTCAAAAGTGCTTTCTGAAAGAACCATATCTCACCCATTAGCAACCCTGCATGCTGTGGTGGCTGAAGCCACCTGAGAGGCTCCTTTCAGTTCTCATTTTGCTTGGGTAGAGAGAAAATGTGAAAGCAAGAAGTGATACATGAAAATAGATCTTTCATGTTACTTGTAGAGGGCTTTTGGAGTAACCTTTTAAAATTCTGCAGTTGGAACCACATCCATTTTGACTTCACTCATACTTTAAAATAGTGGTTCTCAAAGTGTGGTCCCTGGACCAATATCATTAGCATTACCTGGGAACCTGGTAGAAGTGCAAATCCTTGGGCCCCACTATAGACCTGATGAATCAGAAACTAGGGCTGAGGGCTCAGTAATTTGTGTTTTAGTAAGTTCTCCAGGTAATTCTTGATGCATGTCAAAATTTGAGAACAACTCCTTTGACCCAAAATTTAATTCCACTTTAATCTGTTTAACTATTACCAGAGTCTATCTGGCTATCTATGCTAGTGAGGTCTGTAACAGCCCAGACTACAGATGCTCAATTCCAAGCCTATCTGCCCTCCTCAGTCTGTATATGTCTTCTGCGATTTATAGTGCTGTGAAAAGCCAATGATGCACATATTTTACTCTTTTAAAAACAGCACCCTTCACAGGAACTTCCTTAGGATATTAGGATGAGGATTTGAAAGTACAGTATGTTCATTTACACATAAAAATAAGCAGTAGTAACTGACATCAGAATGACAAGCTAAGGAAGCAGGTTATCAAAATGGATCTTAAACGGTACATACTGTGCTTTGAGGGGAGAAAGAGGAAGAGTAGGCACCTCTGAATACCTATTCTTTCCCCTTGAATTTTCATGTTATTACATTATTAACAGTGAAAACCTGTATCTGGTGCAGAAAACGTACAGCAAAGTGCCATTTTTCTCCATATTAAAATTGAATTACACAAGTGGTTGAACTAAGGCGGGGGTGGAGCGGGAGATGCAGAGATAAACGGCTAGGATGGGCAGTTTTCTTATGCTGTGGATCGGCTCTGCTCAACCCTTACCTCACTTCCTTCTACAGGTTTTTCTTTTCGGAGGGGGGGGACCCCTTCCTCCAGAGCGCAACCCCCGGCCGCACTCAGCCCCTGTGTGGCTCATGGTCAGAACTGGTGAAGAGGCTAGGAAACGAAGCGCACTCTCCGCCGATGCTGGAAAGCCCAGACCAGAGAAGCCAGCCCTTGCCGGGAGCTTGGACCCGAGACCAGAACCTGCACAGCAGGCCACTTCCGCTCGACTCTGGCTCGCGGGCCCGCCCCCTTCCGCCTCACGTAAATAAACGCTCGGCGCCTGCGACGCAGCCAGTGTGAGGCGAGCGCGTCGCAACCAGTGAGGTGTCAGGAACGAAAACCAATGGCCAATGAGATGCTGGGATGGCTTGGGCGGCCGACCAATCGCGAAGCCTCGCACCCGGATGTGCTTACCCGTTCTAAAACCCAGCTCTGAGAAAGTGAGGGGTTCCCCACGTGGGGCAGAGGCTGTGGGCGCGGGTGAGAGGCTGAGCGAGTGTTAGGTTCAGTGTCTCCCGCCTGCGATTGGCGTGTAAGGTTCATTCCTTTAGGTTTTGAGTGGGAGAGAAATCAATGTGGCTGCTGGTCGGTAGAAAGAATTCCCACCGCAGTGTCTCGGAGCCAGCGGGTGGGGAAGCCCCTCCGTTGGTACCTCACAGGGAATAGGACTGTGTTGAAGACGCAGTGGGAGTATGAATCTCTTACCTAAGAGCTCCAAGGAGTTCGGCTCCGTTGACTATTGGGAGAAGTTCTTCCAACAGCGAGGAAAGAAAGCTTTCGAGTGGTATGGAACTTACCTGGAGCTGTGCGGGGTGCTGCACAAATACATCAAACCCCGGGAAAAGGTAAGCGCAGCCTGGCATCGCCGTGTGGGTCTGTTCGGGAAGATGGGTCTTGCCTACCAAGTAATCCTACACATGATAGTGACAGGTGTGGGAGCCTAACGGCCCATAATTTCAGGTTTCCATGCATCGTTCCGACTAAAAGGCAATTACAAAACTTGAAGATTTTCAGGTAATAGACCTCCCGCCCCAGCTAATCCTTCAATTAATAATCTCATCGGAAATTCTTTAGTAACTCAACCTAAATATCGCCTCCTAGAGAAGAAAGTATGCGTTTCTGTTACTGTGCTTTCCCGTGGAGGGGGCAGCAGCTATGGCTTGACTGATAAACGAATGCTAAAGGAATCTGTTATCAAACGGTTGTTGCTGGTCCGCTGAATTTTGGGCGTGTGCTCAGCCCTTAAAGCTATGAAAGCATCAAGATATAAAGCCTGGGCACATCCCAGAGGTGAAAAGTGCTAAGTACAGTAACAGGTTTGACAGAGGTGGGGTTGTACTGGAAGTAGGGAAGGAAGAAAGGCGAAGAGTGTGTGTGTGTGTGTGTGTGTGTGTGTGTGCGCGCGCGTGCGTTCGTTCATTCAGTAGCTGAGTTCTCATAAGAAACTTCTGAGCTGAATGGTGGTACATGCATTCTGCAGATGGGGAAACTAAGGCGCTGAGAGCCAGTTTCTTGCCCAAGATCATACATGTAGTAAGTAGTCACATGGGAATTTAGAGTCAGGCCCATCTAGTTCCAAAGCTTATGCACTTCTCATTGTACCGTGCTTTTCCAGAGATGGTGACATCGGGGCAGAATTTTGAAGGGTCAGTGGGAGATTGCGCCACAGAGGGAGGCAACACCCTGTGTTTGTGCTTGCTTCAGGAAATAGCAGAATATCATGAGGAGGAGCCAAGGGCCTGAGGGGAATAGGATTATGCCAGACTAGGTTTTCAACAGTAAAACAAATAGATTTCAACTGTAACTATTGCATTTGGATGCTGTGACTTCCCGTCAGTTCTTGAGTAATTGGTTGTTTCAGAGGAAAGACCAACCATGAGTAGTTTGTTTCTGCAATACAGAAAACTTATTTTTCCCACAACTAGCATTGTCACCGAATGTGGTTTTCACCGTGAGTCCTGTAACCATTGGTGTTCCAAGATGGAGCCTAGACTCAACCCAGTGGTAGTGCTGTCTCCTGTGACAGTATCATCTCCCCCTTTTGAAAACATGCAGCAGCCAAGGCGAGACTTGATTCCTTGAAGCACGTGAAGCTCATTCCTTTGCCTTAGTCACCTCCAGCGTGTTGGTTTCCCCCAGGTGCTGGTGATTGGATGCGGTAACTCAGAGCTAAGCGAGCAGCTGTATGACGTGGGCTGTCAGGATATAGTGAATATCGACATCAGCGAGGTCGTCATCGAGCAGATGAAGGAACGCAATGCCAGCCGACGGCCCCAGATGCGCTTCTTGAGGATGGACATGACACAGATGGAGTTTCCTGATGGCTCGTTCCAGGTGGTGTTGGACAAGGGCACCCTGGATGCTGTCCTGACAGATGAGGAGGAAAAGACCCTGCAGCAGGTGGACAGGATGCTGGCTGAGGTTGGCCGTGTCCTGCAGGTGGGCGGTCGCTACCTCTGCATCTCCCTGGCTCAGGCTCACGTCCTGAAGAAAGCAGTGGGTCACTTCTCTCGGGAGGGGTGGATGGTGAGGGTGCACCAGGTGGCCAACAGCCAGGACCAGGTGTTGGAAGCAGAGCCTCGGTTTCCTCTGCCTGTCTTTGCCTTCATCATGACCAAGTTCAGGCCAGTCCCCGGCCCTGCCCTTCAGATCTTTGAGCTGTGTGCTCAGGAGCAGGGCAAGCCTGTGCGGCTGGAGAGTGCCGAGCGGCTGGCTGAGGCGGTGCGGGAGCGGCAGCAGTATGCCTGGCTGTGCAGCCAGCTGTACCGCAAGGCTGGGCTGGGGAGTGTGTCCCTGGACTTGTGCAGTGGGGACACGGGGGAGCCACGCTACACCCTGCACGTGGTGGACAGCCCCACTGTGAAACCATCGCGGGACAATCATTTTGCCATTTTCATCAGTGAGTTGGAATTGGACCCCCTCTTCCCTGGAGGGGCTGGGGTGGGGCTTCGGTGGCTGGGTGTGCCTTGGCTGGTTCCACCTCGCAGGGGACGGTACTTTTCAGAGGTTAGACAAGCTGAGGCGAGAGGAAGGGACAGCAACGGCTCCTGGCTACCTGCTTAGATTGGAAGCTTGTTTCTTCTCATCTTGCATTGCAAAGGCTTGACGAGGTGGGAGAATGGGGTGGTCAGGGAAGGGAGAGCAGTAACAGAAAGAGAAGTCACACACTGTGGAGATGTTAGTTACTTTGTAACGGTACTGGAAACGATGCTCAGGGCTCTGCAGCCTGTGCCCTGCGCGACCCGGGAAGGCCCCGGGGGAGTTGTGGAAGTTGCTGTCCATCTGCTGAATTTAGACAGCACAGAGAAGTGGCTAAAAAAAGCCCCGGAACCAGACTGTTTGGATTCCAGCCCTGGCCCAGTCACTTCCGGGTGGTGTGACATTTCTCTCTGTGCTTCAGTTTCCTCGTCTGTAAAATGAGAGCGTAACTACCTTGTGTAGTTGTGAGAAGTGAAAAAGCACCTGGGACGGTGCCTGGCACGCGATAAGTGCTTTTTAAACGTTAGCATTGTTATTGAAGGGTAAATGATACCAGATTTACCTTAATAGTGATCAGAAGAGAGACTGGGAGGGAATGCTTTCAAAAGTAGAAAATTTTAGACAAATGCAAGGTGTTGATATGGTCGTGCTGGTCATTTGACGACTGAGCCTTTTTCCCAAGTATTTTGCAATCCCCACTGTCCACCTGTGGGAACGAAGAGTGCTTTGGGCATGAACATGGAGTCTGGGGCTGGATGCCGGGGTTTGCCATTAATTAACTGTGTGAACTTGGGCAAGTAGTGTAACTTCTGAGTCTCAATTTCCTCATTTATACGATGGGAACAATAATGCCACCCATATCCTGGGCTATTGTGAAGGTTCGATTTGTTTCTATTCGTAAACTGCTTGGAATAACGCCTGGCACGTAGTAAGCGTTAGTATTATCGCTACTTTCCTTGCACCGGGTACCTGCCTCCTTCCCTTCCAGACCCTTGGTCCTGCCCCTGTCTGATGGCTGCTTTGCTCTAGGCCTTGTGCTCTGGGGAGTTGATGGCCCCTTAGTGGGTCACAGTTGGAAGGGATGCTGGGCCTGGGCAGGGCTGGCTCTCTGCCACATGGGTTACATCCTCTCTAGGACTCCCTGTAACCAAGTGCCTGTTTCTAGTCCCCCAGGGTCGGGAGACCGAGTGGCTTTTTGGCATGGAGGAGGGCCGGAAGCAGCTAGCGGTCAGCGCCGGCTTCAGGAGGCTGATCACAGTGGCCCTTCACCGAGGTCAGCAGTACGAAGGCATGGACAGCATCCAGGCCGAGCTGTCGGCCAGAGTCATGGAGCTGGCCCCGGCCGGGATGCCCGCCCAGCAGCAGGTAACAGCCCTGGCAGCAGCTTTCATGGGTCTCTGGGGAAGTCACCTTAGCAACCGGGAAGGCAGACTGTGTCTTGGAAGGAGCTGGGATGAGCTCTGTGACCCTAGTCTGTTCCTGGAGGGCATGTCAGCAGCCACTGCTAAGTGGCCATAAATTTCGTTCCCTGGCCCCAGGCCGTGGTGGCACGGATTGAGACCACAGGGGCATCTGTGTCTGGGGGCCTCGGGCTCCGCGGACACAGTGTGAGGGAAGTGCTGTCCACCTTGCAGGCTCCGGCTCTCACTCTGCGGATCGCTCAGACTGTGTGTGTGTTTCCTCACTTTCGCACAGAGTGTCCTTGGCCATTTTGCTTCTTAGAACCGTCGTTATCTGAGGGTAGGATGGGAAAAGGCCGAAACAGTCGCTCAGCATGATTTTTAGGATATTAGCGTTGCCATCCGGTGTTTTACTGGGAAGGAAACAAGATTTTTGCCAAAATGGCGATACCGTCTGTCTTCTGCCATCCTGGCCATAAGACAGGATACTTGACAGGTGACTGTACTGCAAAGACTTTATCCCTCTTGATAGAGGGCGAAACCAAGGTACCTGGAAGCTCGGTGCTACAGTAACAACTCGGAACAGAACAGGCTCCCGGGTCCCCAGCCTGGGGTTGTGCTCGCTGGGCTGACCTGTGCTCGCTGGTGAATGGTTGATGCTTCCCAGCAGACCCTGGGGTTGGCGTCCACCTGGGAGAGCGCCTCCTGTGGGGGCTGCATTCGCGACCTCCTCTCACCAGTGCCTGTGTCTCTGCAAGTCTGGTGATTACTAACTGCTCAGGGAGGTCTTTAAAAAGAAATAGGTGTAAAGATTGGGAGGAGAAATGGAAAAGTTTAGGGGGGAAACGTATTTTTCTTTTAATTTTTCCCTCCCGTTTAGAACAAAGGGAGGAAAAGGTGGGCGTAACTGAGGGGAGGGAGGCGTTTCCCCACATTCCGTCAGACTGCTTGTTTCCTCTGGACTTTGTTATCTTACGCTGTTCACGTTCTTCCTCTCATAATCATAGTCTTCCTGGTTGGGGGGTCCCCCCTGGCTTTAATTGTTCTGGACTGTTGAGAGTCCTTTTGAGGATTACCATTGAGAACCTCGCATTTTTCTTGGGGAGAACCGGCTGCATGTCACTCATGGTTTTGGGGATCAGTTGGTTTTCAGAAAGGTGAATTAAACCTTTTGCGATCCACTCAGAGGGCCCCGAGAAGCACTTTACTAGAGCGGCAGGCCTCAGGTTGTTCCTGCCCGGAACCTTTGAGCGAGGGTTCCTCCTGGACACGCGGGGGGTGGGGGGGGTGGCTTATGATGGCCCGGACTCCCTAACGAGCCAGTGTTCTGACCACATCCCTGCTTTCCCTTTAGGTGCCCTTCCTGTCTGTGGGTGGGGACATTGGCATCCGGACCGTTCAGCACCAAGACTGCAGCCCCCTGAGTGGTGACTACGTCATCGAGGATGTGCAGGGGGACGACAAGCGTTACTTTCGGCGGCTGATCTTCCTTAGCAACAGGAACGTGGTGCAGTCGGAAGCCCGGTTGCTGAAGGACGTGTCCCACAGAGGTGAGGCGTCAGAGGCCTGGCGGTGGGCCGAGTGGACGTGGCATGGCCTGTCGCTTTGGGGTGGTCAGAAGGACCTGGGAGCTTGGCCGAGATGTAGGACAGACCTGGATACCGGTGACCAGAGGCGCGGGGCTCTGCGGCTTCTCCTCGTCCCCTGTGGACTCTTAGGGCGTGAGTGGCCGCAGCAGAGCAAAGACGTGTGTCGTGCTCTGTGTCCCGAGCAGAGCTGGCTGTGAAACAGCCAGGAGCAGGGGCAGTGGCTTACCACATAAGTGTGACCGTCGCTTCAGTGCCTGCAGTGAGAAGGCCACCGTTCTGCAAGTTGCTCCGCGTGTGTCCATGTATTAATTGGGCAGGCCTCAGCGCCGGGAGCAGAAACATGGACCGTAGGGCCAGCCCTGCCTGACTCCACAGCGCCACCCTTTGGCACCTGCTTCTCCGGGCTTTGGAGTTGGTGGGTGCCTCAGAGGGCACGTAGGCCAGCGCTGTTCAGTAGAACTTTCTGCAGTGGAGGACGAGGAAGTTGTCCTCTGTCCATTCCTACTGCCCACGTGGTTCGGTAGAATGATGCTGGCGTCGGAGACAGGCAGTCCCAGGTTCAAGTCCTGGCCTCACCGCCTGCTGATTCCGGGCCTAATTATTGTCTTCGGATCCTCAGGTTCTCCGTCTGGCAATAATCGGAATTACAGGCTCGTCATAGGAGCTAAAAGAGTTAAAGTCCTTGTACAGTGGGGGTGATTATTAGCTTTAAGTCCTCCTTTCCTACACCACGTTTATGAATAAATGTTTCTCCGTGGAGAGGGACCAGGACTCCTCAGCCTTTCGGGTGCGTCTGCCCTTTTCCTTCTCCGACTCTGCTCCGCACTGGTGTGTGTTGAATGTTTAGCAGCCATCTCTTTGGGGGAGATACAGTCCTGACGTGTACTGTTTGCCAATTTCATGAAAATGGCCATGGCCGCCATGGCTAGGTTTCAAGCCACCAACATGTCAGCTGGATCACACAATTCCTGCATTTTAAACAATCGGTTTAAATTGTTTAAATTGAGTAGGGTCGAGCCAGCTGCAGCACACTGTCGCTCGTGTGGCTTGCTGTCCGAGGAGCAGCGTTCTCAGCATAGGACTTCATTCGTGTACCCCCTCTCTTTCTCACATGTAGCCCAGAAGAAACGGAAGAAGGACAGGAAGAAGCAGCGGCCTGCTGACACTCCCGAGGACCTCCCCGCAGCCCCAGGGCAGGCCATCGATAAGAGCTACCTGTGCTGTGAGCACCACAAAGCCATGGTCGCCGGCCTGGCCTTGCTGAGAAACCCGGAGATGCTCTTAGGTGAGGGGGTCGCCACTGCCTTGCACGGCGGGGAGTGCGTGAGGTCGCCGAAGCCGGCAGAGCCAGCTGCCTTGCAGTTTCTAGCGGTGGTTGCAGGCCGACGAAAGCATGCACACGCGTGTCTTTCTTACTACTAAGCTCACAGCCATCCGAGTAACTCTTCCCCCAAAGTCAGATTGTAATCTTGAAATGGATACGTGTGTTGATGTCAAAATTGTTTTCTTCTCGTTTATTTTAAAAATCAAGGTATAGAATACATGCAATGAGATACATAAACTACACATTCTTCAGCTGTTCAGCTTGATGGGTTTTTGCACATGTTTATACCCACGTAACCAGATGGAACATTTGACAGTCACGTGTCTGGAGAAATACCTTTGCACTTGAGGATTCCTGGCTTTTCAGGAATGTGTTGTTTGAAGGCCAGGTGCAATTCTATCTTGAATTTTTACTTTAAAAAAATCCATATTACAGGTAGTGCAGTCATCGCCCTATCACTAATGACAGGTTTGGATCGGCTAGCATGGTAGCAGAAATGTTCGTGTGTCTGTCTGCGCTTGTAACCGTCTTCACCCCAAGACCCCGAGTGTGTCTTAGGGAAACACCCGCCCTCTCGGCCCGTCTCGGCATTGATGTGTGTCCCTGGAGGCTCGGTTCTTGTATTCAGTCCTCAGGTCTGTCTCCTTTGGTGATTCCTTCTTGTTTCTCGTCTTCCCTCCATCCCTCTGTGGTTGCTGTGGCTTCTCTGTGCTTAGGTCTAGAATTTGGGCCTTGTTTTCCTGTGATTTCTGGAACTCGGATGGATTGCCCTGGCCTGGCGATGTGGCCGAGAGGGCAGCTGCGGCCTGTGAGTGGAAAGCTGGACGGAGGGCGTCGCATCTGTCCTGCCCTGTGGTCGTGAACCAGGTGTAGGCCGTTGTCCCTTCTGTTTCTTAGAGGGGTCTAATCACGCTTACGGTGGGGACTCTTGATGTGATATCAGCCAAGCGCTTTGGGATCTTTAAGGGGCTGTAAGAATAACACACAGGTTCATCTTCTGAATCTGGTAAAGGAGGGATTGTGAGGCTGGGGTTGAGGTTTCAGATGTCAAATTAACTCTTAAATTTCTGTGGTGAGACAGGGAAGCCAGATCCCTCACCTTGAATTCCTGGGCAGTGCCAACAATCTGACTCCCTCTTTTGCCCTCTCGAGGCTGCTACCGAACTTTCCAGTGAGCAGATGGTATAATGCCGCTTTATTCCTTTGTTACAGAGACTCCCCTGGCATTGCTGGTGGTAGGCCTGGGCGGAGGCAGCCTCCCCCTCTTCGTCCACGATCATTTCCCAAAGTCCTGCATCGATGCTGTGGAGATCGACCCCTCCATGTTGGAAGTGGCCACCCAGTGGTTTGGCTTTTCCCAGAGCAGCCGGATGAAGGTCCACATTGCAGACGGCCTGGACTATATTACCAGCCTGGCAGGAGGAGAAGGTACTGCTGTTGAAGAATCGGAGGGGTGTCAAGGGAAGAATGTGCCACGGTTTCTGGGCCTGCGAGGGCCTCTGGACTTCATCTGTAAGAGGGTGGCGTCAGCAGCATCGTCGTCTTTCCCTGTTGGTTTGTTGGCGTGTTTATTCAGCACATAGAGTGCCAGCCACGTGCTCTGCACAGCGCGGGGCTTGGGGTGTAGCTGCAGGTGAAACGGACTGTTTCCTGCCCTGCCGGCCCTGACATGCCAGGGGCTGCTCTTCTGACCCTGTCATTTTGCTGCCCCCTCTCCATCCCAGTAAACCTGAAGTCCGTAGCTGGATGAGGAAGAGGGGAAGGAAAGTTGGGGTCTGTGTTGGAAGCTGTTTTTTCTGCATCTTTCAGCTGGAGGCGAAGCCAGAAGTAGAGCAGGATACCACTGCCATCCATTGGTGGTTCTAAACCTCGGGGACATTTGGCATTGTCTGCAGCCATTTTTTTGGTTGTCATTGCTATTTGGTGGAGGCGCTTCTGGCGTCTGGTGGGTAGAGACGAAGGATGCTGCTAAACCCCCTACAACGCACAGGACAGCCACTGGCGACAGTGAATTACCTGACCCGAAATGTCAGTAGTGCAGAGGTCGAGAAACCCTGAGGCAGCTGCTCCCCAGCAGGAAGTCTGGTAGCTTCAGAAAGGGAGATGTCGGGTTGGTTCGGTCCTGAGTGAACCTGGGGTCTCGGGCCACCCACCCTTCCTGGTCTGCTTGTTCCACAACAGGTGCTCTGTCCTCGCTGGGTTAGAGTACCGTCCGGGAAGGCGTGGCAAACCAGGATGACAGTTTGGTGTCCGGATGAGGATATTTGGGGATGGGGTAAACAGATGCTGCCTTATTTTCATTGCAAACTGAACTGAACCACATTAGGGTTTCACAGATTTCGTCTCTGAGGCTGGGGCCACTTGGGGCTCAGGCTTGAGACAGCTAATACATGTGAAGCATTTAAAACAGTGCCAGGCATGTGATAGGGGCTCAGCAGCCTTGATCTCTAACCACCAGCACCTTTCGGATTGATTATTGGAGGGCTCAAGGCTGCAACTGTTGTCCTTGGACTGTCATGAGCCAGAATGTTCTGTTCCGAAGAAACCACAATTAGATGTGTGCTATGAACAGTGATGGGCATGCAGTAGCCCAAGTAAATATTTATTATGTGATCATTATTTTGGTCTCAAAGTTTGCTAAAAATAAGTCAGTGGTATTGCAGGCCACTTGTAAAATGCTGTTGTTATTAATGAGACTGTTATTAAAGAGTGGATCCAGTTCTTCATTTTCTCACTCATTTAGCAAAATCATTTCTTTGAGCCAGCTATTGTTCAGGTAACTAGAAAAGATACACTGAGTTTGATCTGAGAACATTTTCTCCTAGGAGGCAACATATGTCCAGAGTTAAGCTGAAGTTGCCATTTTCTGGGTCAGCCCTTAGAGGCTTGGACAGCTGCCCTGTCGGGATCAACGGGCCTCAACTCTGACTGTATTTAGAATTCCCTGGGGGCTAAAGAAAATTAGGGGCTCCCTCTCCCCATCCCCATCTGCTCCCTGTCACCGTGTGGTTTTTAACTCAGTGTCAGGACAGGGGCCTAGGCTCCCCAGGTATTTGGAAGCTTCATGTCCTGCCAACAGACGACTTTTCACCAGCTGGTCATCATGCAGAGGAGATGAGGTGGAGGCCTCGTCCCTAACGGGGGTACTCACAGCACAACCCCGACAATGACTCCCCCGGAGGGTGGCGTCAGTGCCCTTGACAGGCGAACCACATCCTCCGTGTTCTCCTTCTGACAGCCCCTTGCGCCCACCACAGGCCACAGGAGAGATGAGATGTGGGAATGTAAATGGCATTGGTTTATCCAGCCCAGACAAAAACTCGGTTGCTTCTCTTTCCCAGCACGGCCTCGCTACGACGTCATAATGTTCGACGTAGACAGTAAGGACCCCACCCTGGGAATGAGTTGTCCCCCCCCAGCGTTCGTGGACCAGCCCTTCCTGCAGAAGGTCAAAAGCATCTTGACTCCCAAAGGTATGAAACGAAAGGTTGGGATTGGGGGCTGGATGGGTCCTGTAAAACATTTTTTTTTCTTTTTAATGAAAAATGCATTATAAACATGTTGCTCGATCAGTTAAAGTCGAACACATCCATTCACTAGCACCAAACAACATTTCCAGTTTCTCCAATGTCCAGTCCTACCTCCTTTCAGTGGCCCAGCCTGCCCTCGGGGGCAGCCGCTCCCCTGACTCCTGTCAGCACAGCTTAGTTTCACCCGTTTTTCTTCGTGTAAATGGAATCGTACGGACCGTCGCCTTTAAGTTTCTGTGGCCTTGCGCTGAACGTGATGTCCGTGAGATTCGGCCGTGGCGTTGCGTCTCCAGGGTTCCCGTCGTTGCTGTGCAGCGGCACGGCGTGACCGTAGCTGTGTCGGCTTCTCCGTTCCGCCGTTGGTATGTGGCGTGTCCCATTTGGAGCTTCCGTAAGGAGTGCCACCCTTGGCGTGCCCGCGGGAGCCTCTCGGCGAGGCGTTTGCAGGTCTGCCGGGCTTACGTGTGGAGTCGCCGCTGCTGGATCCCAAGCGGCGCGTCTGCTCAGCTTCTGCAGATGCCGCCACTCGGTTTTACGAAGTGGCAATAGTAATTCCCGTTCCCACTGGCGTGGCTGCCGGCCGAGTTCTTCCCACACGCCCTGGACCGTGTTATTTCATCGTCACCACGGCCCATTTTCAGATGAGCGGACCGAGGTGAAGAGGCTTGTCGAGGTCACAGCCGGGGCTCCAGCCCCTGGGCTTGTGAAAGCCGGAGCTCAATCCAGGTGCTCACGCCTCCCAGGTGTTTTGATGTGGTGACAGGTATTGTGGTGAACAGTTGATTTAGAACCTAAATTGTCACAAGTCAAGATACTCGGGACTGTCTCACTGGCTGATAAATGCTGCATGGCAGGAACATGGCGTGCCTGTGGGGTCGGTACGTTCTTTCTCAGGGTCATTCATTACTTCTTTCTCAAAGCAATTCTTTGGGAAACTGAGGCAATGACCACGGTACCGTCATTTGTTAGTGGCGCAGACGAGCAGGGAATTAGGCTGAAGGCGCCTCACGGTGCACGTGGTTGCCGTGCTTTTCTGTTTCTCCGTTTGTGCCGTGTGTCCCCTGCCAGCTGCTGCTGCCGCCGGTGCGTTTCTTAGGCCGCCAGCCTCCCTGGGGCAGGAATTGGTATTTTCCGCAGAGCTGACCCTTGTCTCCGACATGTCACCTGATCTGTGGTCATTCTGACTCTTTCCTTCCCACCCTACAGGTGTCTTTATCCTCAACCTCGTGTGCCGAGACTTGGGGCTAAAGGACTCAGTGCTGGGTGGGCTCAAGGCGGTGTTCCCCCTTCTGTACGTCCGGCGAATCGAGGGGGAAGTGAACGAGATCCTGTTCTGTCAGCTGCACCCCGAGCAGACACTTGCCACGCCAGAGCTGTTGGAAATGGCCCGGGCCTTGGAGCAGACCCTGAGGAAGCCAGGGAGGGGTTGGGACGACACGTATGTCCTGTCAGACATGCTCAAGACTGTGAAGATCGTGTGATCGCTGGCCTTGCAGTCTTCCCGGCTTCCTGCTGGCCTGACCTTGGGCTCGCAGCTGGCCAGAGTGAAGAAAGCACAGTGCTTTCAAGCCGCGTATTTTTCTTGGTTTCATACTCGACTGCGTGCGACCTCCAGCTTGCTGAGGTTGCCCGACGATCTGGGAAAATAAAGACGTTTTTCCCATCCTGACCTCTTCAGGACCTCTCGGTTGCTCGCCTGTGCCTCCTGCACCGTGTCCTTGAGTAGGACCCCTGCCGGAAGCCCCGACGGACGCCAGCGCCCTAATGCACGGGCACCTTAGGATGGACACCGTCACACGTGACCGCGGGCTCATGCTCGCTTTCTTCTGTTGGCTCTGTGGGAATGACCTCGCTTCTGGGCCAAAAGACTATAAACAGCGTAGGATCTTCGTAGACGTGGGACAGGTTTGAGAGACCATCCCACTGTTTCTCTGCAGGTGGAAGTGCCGCCGCCATGGTCCCTAGTGTTAAGAACCTGCTAATCCACTGTTTCACAGCTTGTCTCAGCTTCCCAATCCTTGTAGCCGGAGCTGTCCGCTTCCTTCTCAGTGGAAGGAGTGGATGTGACCGGCCCATTACTGTGCGTGTCAGACTTAGCCAGCTCGTCTCTAGTGTTGGTTCACTCCCATTTACGGAGTGACAGCTACATGCCAGACCCAGCGTAAGGAGCTGTGGTGGAAGTAAAGATGTTTGAGTCCACGGCCAAGCCACCCTTGAACGTGCCCCGTCTCGTCTGGTCTCAGAAGCTAAGCAGGGTCGGGCCTGGTTAGTGCTTGGATGGGAGACCACCTCGGAAGACCAGGTGCTATAGGCATAAAAAAAATAAAAAAAAAAAATATGTTTGAGAATGGCCAAAGCTCATGGATTAGTAATAAAAGTTAACGTCTTCCAGGAATTTTAAAAAATGATTTACATTCATGGTCTCGTTTAATTTGAGATAAAAGATAGTTTAACCCAAACTAAGATATCTAACCCCAAATCTCACTTGAGCTAGAAGCATCAGTCTTATCCATTTATTGAAACTGTTAAAACAGCAGTTCTGAGATTGGCTTGAATTTCACCCCCCAGTTATGCCAAGTCTGACTTGCTGAGCCGTGCTGTGGAAAATAGGCATTGTCACTATCCAGCCCTCGGCTTCTCTCTCCACAGGCCCTTTAAAATGGACTCTAGCCCCGGGGTGAAGCATGTTTCAAAGGTAGGTTGTCACCCTCACAAAAACTGGGTCGGCCCCCTGAGGAGGAGGGAGGGGGTGCGGGTCTCCCCTGGGGCCGTGTGAAGGGAGCCGATCTCGTCAGGTCACCCTCAGTTTGAGAATACTCCGCTGGCATCTAATCTGTAAGCTCACGCGGTGTTAGGGTCCTTCCTGTGTCACACCTGCAGTGGGGTCACCCTGCAGTGCTATGCAGACCTCGGAGGGGCACACTCGGGTGGCACAGCCAAGCTAGGGCATTCCCAGAATGATGACTGGCTCTCGACTGCATCTTAAGAGCCGTCCAAGGAAGTAGCCAGGTTCATTGCAGAGAAGCCTTTGGAGGTGGGAAGCAGCACTCGGGGAGATGACGCTCATCTTAAAAATTTTGAAAGACGGTACGAAAGAAGAGTGAGGTTGGTACGTGTGTCTCCAAAGGCTCGAGGAAGACCAATGGGCAGAAATTACAGCTGGGCCGCGTTTACCTTAATTTCCTACAAAGATTTGTACCAGTGGGGACCAGTATGTCCATCAGAACACGCGGCAACTCAAGGTGTTTACTCAAACCCTAGTCTAACCCCCTTCTGTGCTTGCCGAGCTGTGAGGAAAGGTAATGCCGTCGGCCCATCTTCCCCATTGGAGGGCTATTCACTTTTTTTTGAGGGGGGTTTCATTTGACTTGTATTTATTTAAAAACAAAATTTTAAATTTTAAAAATTGAGACGACATCGGTTAATACATGCAGGTTTGAAGTGTATCACTTCGTAATTCAGTATCTGTTTGCACTATAGCGTGTTCACCACCAAAGTCTAGTTTCCATCCATCACCATATGTGTGACCCCCTTTCCCATCTCAGCTTCTCCCCACCTCCTTCCTCCTCTGGGAACTGCCAGTCTGTTGTCTGTATCTATGAGTTTGCTTTTGTGTGTTTCCTTTTCATTTGACATCCCACATGAGTGAAATCGGACAGTTTTCGTCCTTTTCTGTCTGACTTATTTCACTTAGCCTAACGCCCTCGAGGTCCATCCACGTTGTTGCAAATGGCAATATTTTACCTTTTTATGGCTGAGTGATATCCTATTGTATATATGTGCCACATCTTCATTATCTGTTCACCTGTCAATGGACGCTCAGGTCGCTTCCCTATCTTGGCTATTGTAAATAATGCTGCAGTGAACATGGGGGTGCAGATATCTTTTTGAATTAGTGTTTTTGTTTTCTTTGGATAAATATCCAGAAGTGGAATTGCTGGATCATACGGTAGTGCTGTTTTTAATTTTTTGAGGAGCCTCCATACTGTTTTTCCATAGTGGCTGCACCAATTTACAAGCCCACTAATAGTGCACTACGTGGGAAACTTAAAAATGCTTAAGCCCGGGCCCCGCCCCCAGAGGTTCTGATTTAACTGGTCTCGGGTGCAGTCTTTGAATCAGTTTTGAAAAGCCGTCCAGGGGATTATGTGTTGAGGACCTCCGAGGCAGAGGCTCTGAGTGGCTGTGTCTGTCGGGAAGGGAGGGGGAGTTGCCATATCCCATCAGTGGCTATCGGCTTCTCTCTGAGTCGCTTGATAATTGGACGATGCTCTCCTCCTGCTGCCTGGGAAAAGCACGCTGCGTTTGCCTTTACTCAGACTCAATGTTCCGATACCAGATATGTGGATTTCCTCCCCCAAACCAAGCAATTCTCCAACACCAGCCAGGTGTCGTACAGTTCTATCCAAAGCTGATACTACCTGCTGGGGTTAGCACAGACCCCGCAAGCCTGCTCCCTCCTCCCACTTCAGATGCCCACCTCAGAACCGCAAGTCCAGGTTGTCACTGTGCTTCTGACCAACTGGCTATAGATCAGAGGTTCCTATGACCCCCTCCTCGGGTTTGCTGATTTGCTGGAGTGCTCACAGAACTCCAGAAGAGCGTTTAGATTACGAGCTTATCATAAAAGGTTACAACTCAAGAACAGCCAGATAGAAGGGATGCACAGGGCAAGGTGTATAGGAGGGGTCACACCGGCCGCCTCGCACCTTTCTGTGTTCACTCCCCCTCAAAGCTTTCTGGACCCATACTCTTGAAATTTTTATGGATGCTCCATCAGGTAGACGTGATGGATTAATAATAACTCAATGTCTAGCTCTTCTGCCTTCCCTGAAGGATGGAGGGTGGGGCTGGAAGCCACGAGTTTATAATCAGGGCTTGGTCTGTCTGGTGACCAGCGCCCATCCGGGAGCCTACCAGGGGTCACCTCCTTAGAACAAAAGATGCTCCCATCGCCCAGGAAATCGGAGGCGTTTTAGGAGCTCTATGTCAGGAACTGGAGTCAGAGACCAACATACATTTTTATTATTCACACACACCTCAGCTCCTTGCTTTTTGAGTGGATGACAGGTTGAAGAGGTCAGCTTGCTGCACGGGTGACTTTCTCCATGTGGCACAGCCCCACTCCCCACTCACACGGGGCGCCGAGAGTGTGTGCCGAGCAGTGCCCCACCAGCCCAAGGGCTAGGAGAGCAAACCGTAGGGAATCCAGTTGCCCTGTGGCGCATCGAGCCTTTGGTTCCTATTAATTTGTCAACAGGGAACGGTCCATAAGTCAAATTCTCAAGATGAGTTTTTCTCTCTTATATGCAATAGGAATTTTTTTTTTGAGAGATTTCTGTGCCGGATCCCATGTTTGTGCTGAGGGGCACGGCTGTCACAGAGCTCACTGCCCGGCTGGGAGGCCAGTCTCAACATGTGCGTGTGAAGTGGGGAGCGTACAGAAGTGGTCAGGTGTCGGCTGAGTCTTCCTAGGTCCTTGTCGGAACAGACTGGAAGGGCTGCAGTCCCAATGAAACCTGCTTCCTGAAATGATGGAAGGCTGAACAGTTTTGTTCTTCTAGCTCAGGGGCGAGCAAGTCCTTATGCCTCCCAGTAGATGGCGCTAGAAATCACATTTACATTCCGGAACATCTGGAAAATTCGGGTGGGAGGGCAGAGCAGAGTCGGGGAGCTGTTTGTTGTACCTGAACCATACTTCCTGCTGCTTCCTCTCAGGTCCAAGGATAGACTCCTGCTTTGCCTGCTTCTCTCTCTCCACCCAGTACCGCTATCCGCTCTGCCGTTTCCCCAACGAGCTTCGTCCTTCCCCTTGTGTGGAGAGAGCACGATTTCCTCCAGGCAAGGTGAAGGCAGAGGTCCTGTCGCCCCACATCCCTGATTTCAGAAACAATGATGGGAAATAAAGCAATGGATCATGCTAATAGGAGCTGAAGGAGCATAAATCTAGGCAGCATGGAAGAAATAAAAATGTAGCATACATGCATCTGGGCCTGAGCTGGCATGTCAGATTTTCTCCCAGGATATGTCATTTCTATCATAGTAGTAAGTAGGTGGAAACAAAATAAGATTGGCAGAAAAAAAATTGATGAAATAATGGATTTGGATATATTTTTTGTGAGGCAAACCTGCCTGTAGTGCGTTGAATAGTGACACCCCCCAAAAAGAAATACCCATAATCTGTGAATATGACCCTAGTGGGAAGAAAGGGTTTTTGCAGGTGTAGTTAAGCATCTCAAGAGAAAATCACCCTGGGTTAGGACCTTCCTAAATGCAAAGACAAGATTAGGATAGAGGGGGAAGCAGAGGTGGGGACACACGCCGGGGCGAAGGCTCTGTGAAGACGGGCAGAGTTGGGGGCGGTGTCCACCAGGCGAGGATGGCCAGGGACCACTGCCAGCCCTGGAAGCAAGGGAAGAGGCACTGCGGACCGAGTCCCTCTCAGAGCCTGTGGAAGGAACCAACCGTGCCAGCACCTTGATGGAGGACCGCTGGCCTCCCATTGTGAGACAATAAATTTCTGTTGGTTTAAAACTCCTGGTTTATAGTAATTTGTTTTGGCAGCCCCGGGAAATGAATATGTTGCCTGCAAGGGTTTGTCTGTGCTGCCCGCATCGGATGGACTCTGGGCCATGTGCTACCTCCGGCTGTCTTTGGTTGAGCTCTCACAGGACGTTTTATATAAAATCTGAAGTTCTGGCTTTTTTTTTTTTTTTGAAAACTTGGTAGCTTTGGCTACGTGGGACGCACATTCACACTTGGTTGGAACTGGTGAGTGTCTGTCCCTTGTGGGTGGGTCGTGTTGGCTACAGTCACCACTGCTCCCCACCTGCCTCCGTGTGATCGCTTTCCACGCCTGGTCCTGCAGGCACTTGAGTTTGTGGCTCCTGTATAGGCATCAGGATCGGGCAGTCGTCTTGGGAGATTTTTACCTATGTACAAGGTGGTTCAGAAATCTGGTTATTATCTCCTAGGACAAAAAAGGGAGACAGCGTAGTTTTGTTATCCCATGGGATAACATTTGAAGCATGTTGTTTTTGCAGAGTCTCTTCTCAAGAGAACTGGAATGGTTTGCAATATTTTGTGGAGCTTAGGGTTTGAATTCATTAGATTTTTTTCTATTTAGGTATCTGCAAACCCAGAGCATCAAAACAAGGTAGTTCCTTTAATAAAAGCGCAGAAAAACAAACACCTAATTAATAGAATAGTGATGCATTTTTTTAATCTAGGCAATGTAGTCATAAAAACTTTTTTCTCCCTGTTTGGTGGCGGCTGGAAAAAAGCTGAGAAGATAGTCTCTCAGCTTGTTGCCCTGCTGACAGAGTCTCCAGAGTAATATCCTGTAGGCATAATATTGGTTAGGCTGAGACTTAATTTCCAACTCTGAAATAATGATTTCCAGCTTTCT